AGTCCATTCAGCTTGTCCTCACCTGTCCTGTGTAGCTTGATCTCAGGTTTCCAAACGATGTCCAACAGTCTTCTCTGTCGATCGATCTCTTCCTCGTACTCGACGATAGTTTGCTCGAAGACTCTGAAGATGTCTTCAGCAGCAGCAGTTAGTCTCTCGTTGACAAACTCTCTCAAACACTGAACCGAAGACATTGTTGCTTCATTAACACTCAAATATTYATCTGCGACACGAAGACACCATCGTCTTCAGCTGCACACATCCACACAGCTAGCCATGCTAACACTTCCGGTCTGCGTCACTGTGAATCTCTGGTAAATATCTTTCTGTTTCCATAGTTACAATTATTAATAAGAGATAAATCTTTTTATAAGAAGATGATGATGATGATGATGGTCTCCTCCTCTTCTTCTTCTTCCTCTTCTTCTTCTTCTTCTTCTTCTTCTTCTTCTTCTTCTTCTTCGGTTGAATGGCGGGTCAGAAAACACCTTACAGGTGCATTACTGCCACCCTCAGGACATAAGTGGGTACAACAGACAACACAATGGAACGTGTTTTCTGTTTGGTCACATGTTCACTGATAATAGAACTATACATATATAAGTTCACTTGTGAAAATAAAACCTGGTACAGACGGTCTGCCTCTACTTCACTTACTGATACTGATGTACTGCGAGTGTTAGCGGAGCACAACCACACATACTTTAATACTTTGATCCTGAAGTAACTTCATCAATCATCAATCAAATGTTGTTTGTACAGCTCATATTCACAAATCACAGTTTGTCTCATAGGGTTAACGAGCTGTGACCTCATCGGTTCTTAACTCAAGAGTAAAACTACTAAAAAACTTTCAACAGGGAAAAGAACGTAGAGACCTCAGAGACACGTGAGGACCCGTCTCCCAGGACGGACACAGGTGCAGTAGACGCCACGTGTAACTGAGAAGGTCAGACACAGAAGAGTAGCTCCAGCACTGGTTAGAGGAAACAGTTAGAAGCTTGATGGAAGGTGAATGAAGAGAGGAGTTACTGTCAGGAAGTCTCTGAGGAGACATGTTGTTGATCAGTCTGTGACCATCGTCCACCATGTGGACCCACCAGTGGTGCATTTGGTGTTTTGGTGACAGGACGAGTCGGAGCATCTGGAAACAGAGAGATTGAGATTCACTGGGTGAGTTAGTGTCGTATATTGGGGCAGCGATGATGTGAAGATGATGAAGGAATCTCCGATGACACCGTCTTGATTGTATTAAAGGTTTATTACAAAAAGCTCAGCATCACTACAACACTGCAGTCTGCCTGGAGAGAGATCTGAGGCCAATGTGAATCTCTTCTGCCCGACAGCTTCAACTCCCCGTTTACATACGAGAGTTGTTTTCACAAACCTAAAGAAAACACATCTGGTTTATTACGAGCCCACCTCGTCTGTCGGCGAACAGAGAAGAAGGCCTCAGCTCAAATTTTGAGTGATAGTTAGAGCCTTGACCTAATGTCCACATTCAGTTCTCCTCTGAAAACCTAACTTATGGACCTCCGAATCCTCAGAACCTATGGGCTTCAGACCCTTAGACCAACTTCCTTCACCGAGAACACAACACATGGCATTTCAGATCTTTCAGGAACTCCTCACAGGATCTCAGAGGATCTGGTGGGTCTCTGAAGACCCTGGTCCTCCTCAGAGACCGGAACGATCCACAGCAGCTCCACGATAAGACCATGATGTAATGGTTCAAAGGAAGGGAGGGGTCAGTGGGCGGAGCTTTTATACTGTTTGATCTCTTATCTCCAACTTAACCTGGAGCCGGTCAGCTGATCAGCATAAGTTACCATGGTGATTTACCCGGTAACAAGGGAACGAGCTTCATGGGACTGAAAACTCTGAATTAAACCTGAATTAAACCTGAAGTTAACCTGAAATTAACCTGAATTAAACCTGAAGTTAACCTGAAGTTAACCTGAAGTTAACCTGAATTAAACCTGAAGTTAATCTGAATTAAACCTGAAGTTAACCTGAATTAAACCTGAAGTTAACCTGAAGTTAACCTGAAGTTAATCTGAATTAAACCTGAATTAAACCTGAAGTTAATCTGAATTAAACCTGAAATTAATCTGAATTAAACCTGAATTTAACCTGAATTAAACCTGAAGTTAATCTGAAGTTAACCTGAATTAAACCTGAAGTTAATCTGAATTAAACCTGAAGTTAA